AGCGAGCCTGAGCAGCCAGTTCAGCCTTCCCAGGTAACTGCACCCTCAGACTAATTTTCAGCTCATTCCTTCTGAAGATAGTTCTTTATCACCATTTCTCACTGCAGCAGAATGACACACACTGCTCACTGCTTGAGATCTTTCATGTAAAGCTGGCATTAAATCTCACACAGGTAAGCAGCATCTAAATCCAAACAAGCCTGGCTGGCTCATTTTGAAACTTCAGCAAAGATTTTGCAAGATGACCACACATCTACACGAGGAAAAGCTATGGGACACAGAACAAGAACACATTCAGCCTCTGTTCAGTCAATCTTTGACCTCCCCACAGCTGTGATTTCAGTGTGTGCTGAATGCAGGTGGAAAAGAAGAAAAAAGACAACAAAGAAAAAGCCAGCAAGTCCCTGTGAGGTACCTGTGCTATACCATGGACTACCTGTGTTTATTTTGCATGTATAAATGTTTCAGATATAAACTATGACAGAAAATTTGACAAAATTTTAAAAGTGTATATATATATCTTTCTATATGTTTGCAAAAATTACTTAGTCTTTCTGTGCCTTTTAATACAAAAATTCTAAGTATATTCTCAGATTATGAGCTTTCCTTTCAACACTTGAAATACTACGCCATAGGGAACTTTTTGTAGAATGTGTTTAACAACAAACATCAGTTTCACCTCTCAGAACAATTTCATTTGATGAAAGAAAATGTTCTCTGCTTTTCTAAAATACTCTGCACTTACAGAGTTCCTATAGCTATGCAAAAACCCATTAGAATTTAAAATTGAGCCTTAACTAAAACACAGTTATCATACAGCTGTTACAATAAGCATTAGTTTAACAGCTATGCAAAAATGAGTTTAAAAACCCATCATAACCATTTATCGTAAAAGTATAAGTCTCTCATTTATGTAACTTTGCAAATGAACAGTCACAGTAACTAACTCTTTATCTTAGATTACCTGTTATAGGCCACACTAACATAATGTCAGTGCTATCTGTTGCAAAGAACCATTTAGAGCTAAACTACATAAAACCCCATATGCTTGGGTAGGACAGAGATGGATACAGACTACCAGGCATAAAGGAACATCAGAGACCATGGCAATCACCATAAAATTTAAATCAACAGCAAAATAGATGTGACTGACTCTTAATCACATGTAGCAGATTTGAGTTTTAGAGCTGTGGTAAAAACAGAACAAGACCAGTGAGATCTTTCCACTAGTAAAAATCCTTTTCTAAATGAGTACCCCCAAGCCAGAGAAATTCATCCAGAAACCTCACCCATCATCACGTGTCTCCATGTCTCTTTCCAAGCAATTACAACAGTTTCTCACACTATTACACATCACCTGTTTTCTGAATACTCAATAATTCCTGAGCAAGCAGCAAGTAAGCATGACACACCTTATCTGCTATTCAACAGCTTTTGGCAAAAAGAGGGTTTAAGCACTAGGCAGGGTTTTCTGGCAGCTACAGTAAAAGGCCAAAAGTGGCAGTGCACTCCTAGAACCACCAGAAACTCCTTCAAGCTGCTGACAGGCTGTGTAAGGGGTCTGGGGGTCAGGGATATGGAGGACAGAAGCACCCCCTCAGCCCAGGCTATGGCTGCAGCGGCTGTGCTGTCCCAATGTGCTCCCCAGCAGGGAAGGTCCCTGCTCAGTTAATGCAGTGATCCCAGTGATGTCCATCAGCTTCCATCCCAATTCACCATCTCCTATCCCATGGGAACAGTTATGTCACAGCAGGCCCAGCAGAAATGTCCTTGTAACACTTCACCACACATTTCCTTTTAGTTGATAAGAATAGTGCCATTGCACAGACAAAACAGTGCCTGCAAGAAATAAGAAGCAGGATAAAAACCAGATGGCTGAAGTGAAGCGCAGGAAGACAGGAGCAATGCTTGTAGGGAGGAGAAATCATTTTGATGAGCTGAAACTGTGAACATGGCTCTCCACACAAAGGAAACATAACCTGCCACAACACAGCCTGCAAGAGCATAACTATGAAATTTGAATGAAATATTGTAATCTGTATCACCTAAAGGCTGAATTCTTTTCAAGCAAGCCCTAGATGAACATGACACATATTTTTTAATTTAACATCAGGCTAATGCAGCTTCAGCTGTTAAGATGACTACCTGTCAACCACAATCAGTAACACCACTTTGAAAAATGTGATGTGATCTGCAAGAAAGTCGAGGGCATGGACAGCATATTCCTTTACAGTACATCTATACATTCACAAATCCCTTCCAGGCTGGTGCAAACCTTGGCAGTGATAGGAATGACTCTTCCATCCCAAGTTCTCAGCAACTCCATCCATACAAAGACAAGTGAATCAGCAGTAGAGGAAACCACAAGCACCTAAAGCCCAGACTCTACCTATCACTGTGTGCAACACGGTTCAAACTTTTAAATCTAGCCAAAGTCAGGGTATCTTGAATCTTATTAAAATGTCATGAACCCAAAGAAGCCAGTTCAGGAAATTTTCAAGCACAAAATATGATTCATAGTATTTTCCTTGTTCTTGGTACAGTTTATAGAAAAAAAGTTTCAGTGTTTCAGCTGATACATTTTAAATGCATCATTTTCACCATGTATAGAACCTGGAGATGAAACTTCAAAGAACATAAAGTTTTCTCCACGTTGTTTCCTGAAGCATAGTATAAATATTGCCATATCATACAGGGATGCAGTAATACTAATTTGATTACTATAGCCAGCGGGCAGTGATCTAATGAGCTTCTGCATGGTACTTGTCTTGGGATTTTTCTCCCTGCCATTTCTTCTAAAGAATTCCCAAAATTTACATTTAAGACTGCATTAATACAGCAGCTATTAAAAAAAATGCAAGATGTGTTGTAAAAGCAGGGGATTATTTTAAATATTAAAAAAAAAAACAAACCATCAAGCAGTTGTGTTTCTTGTAAAATCCAAGAGAGATCCACTTCTGCTTCTGCACTACCTGTTCTAAAACGACCTGGGACAAACCTCCCTCATGGAATATCTGGCATGACCCTCAAGAGATGATGAGAGCTGGCAAAAGCAACACAGAAAGGACAGGTCACTGACTACCACTGAAATCAGCACAGCAACATTACCAAGAACACTTCAGTGATTAGGAAGAAAAACTGGAAAGAATTACATGGAGACCTTACTTTGCCAAGCAGGCAACTCCTCAGAGAAACTGGCTAAGGAGCTTCACACAGGGCAAGTGTTTGGCCAAAAAGCTACCTGTCCTTGCAATTCTCTGTGAAACAGGGAACTGTGTGCACAGCCTCACATCCCAGGCAGGTCCTGTGATCCTCTCACTTCTCACTGCCTTAATTGCACCTCCAGTGCAATGTGCACTATTCAGGAAGGGAAATTGACTATAACTTGGAGGAAATCTGAAAGAAATCTGGGAGAATAACTAAAGCAGCAATAAAGAAATAAAAAAATCTCTGGCAACAAACTTAATAAGATTATGTTCTTTTTATGAAGAAAAATAAGTAAAGCAAGAATTTAATTAAAATGCATAAGAATTCATTCTCAACAGATAATGGTATTTTCAGTGTTGATGAGGCTACAAATAAGACTCAGTGGCCAGAAACTAAAGGTAGCCCTCTTCATAACAGAAAAACAATATAAATCAGTCACTTGTATACTTTACTGAGAACTGTGCTGAATTTTGCCTCATCAGAAAATTTTAACTACACCTTCTACAGGCTAAGCTCTATTTTCAAACACAGACTGGGGAAAAAAATTTCTATGGCCTGCGTTATGAAGAGGTCAGACTCGATGATTGCAACAGTCCTTCTGACTTGATAATCTATTAATCTTATCAGACATGTCTGACCACTTTCAGAACCAAGTGCAAAGTCATCTGTTAGCGCACCTATTTTGACGGGGTATTTTTAGCCCGAGATTCTCTTTTACCTCTAAACGTCGTCGAGATGGGAACTGTAGATAAATCAAACAAGAGACATAAAAGGCAAGCGATAACTAAAATCTCATCGCCTAGAGAATACTCGCTTTAGCTGGCAGAGTTACACAATCAAAAAGCAACCCGAAGCCAGTAAGATATCTCGTATTTTCCCCGCACTTCCCGGAACTTTGCAGAACTCTCTCCGTGGGACTGAATCGCTCCAGACAAGTTTTGGCTGAGAGGAGGCTCCGCACGCCCCGGAGCAGCGCTTTAGAGGAAAGAGGTTCGCCAGGCTCAGCGGAGAGCACAACGGCGGAGCAATGGAAGGGCGCGGGGGATGCCGGCGCGGCGCGGCCGCCTCCGCCGGCCCGGTGCCCCGGCGGGCAGCATTGTTCGGCCGGGCAGCGCCGGTGCCCGCGGCCCCGCTTCCCTCCGGCAGCCGGGCAGGGACGCGTGAACTCTTGAACCCGCGCCGCAGCCCGACGCGAGCCCGCGGGGCGGAGAGACCGCCCGCCCCGCCGCCGCCGCGGGCCGCCGGGACAGCGGGGAGCCCGCGCCGCCGCCCCCCGCCCGCCGGGACGCGGCCTCCCCCGCCCCGCCCCGGCCTCCCCGGGGCCGCCAGGCCCCGCTCGCCCCCCGCCCTGCCCTGCCCCGCCGCCGGGGCCCCCTCGGCCGCCCTCGGCCAGGCCCCGGTGTGGCCCCCGGCCTTTCCTGCCGCTGCCCCCTCGGCGGACCCTCCTCACCTGGGCTTGAGGCTGCCGGCGCCGCGCTCGTAGGCCCAGGAGGCGGCGGGCGGCGCGGTGCCCGGGGCCAGGGGCTCGGCGAAGCCGGGGGTCGCGGGGTAGTTCCTGTCCATCATCGGGGCCGCGGGGGCTCCGCGGGGGCCCTGCGCTTTTGAGGGCGGCGGGGAACGAGCGGCGCGGGGGGGGAGCGGCGCCTCATCCGGGGCGGGCAGCGCCGCGGCCCCGTGCGGCCCCCTGCACTCCGCTCCCGCTCAGCGGCGGGCGGCGGGCGGAGCTGCGGGCGGCGGCGGGGGCTGCGCGGCCGCCGGACCCATGTCGGGCTGCGCGTTCCCAGGATGCTCCTCCCCCGCCAGCGCACTGGGGCTCACGGGCTCCGTGTCCGGGGGCAGGGAGGCCGCGGCGGAGGGGCCGCGGGGCCGCCGCCAGCAGCGCCGGCGGGGGGAGCGGCAGCAGCAGGAGGAGGAGGAGGAAGAGGAGAAGGAGGTCTGTGAATCGCGGCCGGGCGGCCGCGGCCCGAGGGGGAAGCGCGGCGGCGGGCGCGGAGCGTGGCGGGGGGCGGTAGCCGCCACCGGGGCGGGGTGGGGGGGCTGAAGGCGGGGACGGGCGGGGTGGCGGTGTCGGCTGTGGGGGGAGGCCGGTTCCTCGGTGAAGTGAAGCGCTGGCGCTTTGTTGGAGGAACCGGGGCGGGGCCATGTTGTTCCCGCGGAGGGGAAGCGCCGCCAGCCGCGGGCTCCGGGGCGGCCGCCGCCGCCAAGATGGAGCCCGGCAGCCGGCCCATTGTGGAGCGCTTGGCGGGACGGCCCGCCCGCCCTGCCCCTGTCACCGTCAGCCGGCGCTGACGCCGCGCCCCGCGCCCGGCCGCCTGCCCCCGCGGCGGGGCTCGCCGAGCCTCCGCCCGCCGCCGCCTCTTCTGTGTGTCTGTGCGGCACGGCTTTCCCCGACACCCGGGCATTCCCCACCAGGAAGTCACCGCAGGCCTGGGGCCCGAACGGAGTCGTATAATGGGATCACAGAATGCTTTGGATTGGAAGGAACCATAAAGGTCATCCAGTCCGATCCCCCCTGCCATGGGCAGGGGCACCTTCCACCGGATCAGGTTGCTCAAGGCCCCATCCAAGCTGGTTTTGAACGCTTCCAGGGACGGAGCAGCCACAATTTCTCTGGGCAGTGTGCTCCAGTGCCTCACTCTCTTCACAGTAAAAAATCTCATCTTAATATCTAATCTAAATCTGCTTCCAGTTTAAAGCCATTGCCTCTTGTCCTATCACATGCCCTTGTAAAAAGTCTCTTTCCAGCTTTCTTGTATGCGCCAAGTCAGCTAGCAAGAGAACAGAGAGAATATCTATTCTTTCTTTATTTTTATTTAGTCTTAACTTAAATGATAAAACTTCATAGAGGTTCTAGAGACCTTCTTTAGCTAGGACTGGCTAAAGCAGTTTGTTTTTATTTAGAGCAGCCTAAGCCACCTGGTTTGCAGACAGTAAATTCCTGTTTTTTTTGCTGAGTGCTTGTTAAAACAAAGAATAAGGGAAACGGGCACCATCTGCACAGAGCAGGGCAGCAGCAAAGGGGACATCAGTGTCGATGAGTGAACTGTGGTGTCTTGCTTTCCCCGCAGATTGAAGATAGGCAGGCCGAGATGAGCAGGAGGAATGTGCCTCAGAGGTAAAGATGAGGAATATGCTCTTGAAAAGAGGGTGACTGCACCTGAAGGCACTGCTCAGAAGAGGAAGGTGTATGCTAATGAGCGAGTAAGTCTTTTGAAGATTCAGTTTGTAGCACTCCAGGCAATACTGAACCACAGACTGAAATGAATTCTGTAGTGAAATGCATTTAGAAACTTGGCTACAGCCAATCAGATTAGATGTTAAAAAAAAAGTTGCAAAAAACCTCAACATTGGAATGAAAAGACAGAGTGATCAGTATTAAATGGGAAAGCAGAAAGGTATGAGACTTCAGGAGGAAAAGCTGAAGTTCTGCTTTTCTCATGCCTAAATTCAAGAAGCTGCAGGAAGAAATGCAGCCGTGGATGGGGAGGGAAAGAAAGGTAAGTGTGAAAGTCATCAGCACTGAGAAGAGGAGCAAAGTCACCCAGAGGCCAGGGCAGAGGGTGGAGGGAGAATCAGCAGCTCACCAAAGCCAGAAACCAGCAGAGTGAGTTTTCCTGTGTTTGCATAAGTTAGTACCTGTGTTGCTTGCAGCTGGAGGAGCCGTGTGGGGGGTGGGAGACCTCCTTCCCCTGGGAAACAGGAGTGTTGCTGTTTTACATATGAACAGGGCCTGATGACAGAAAATTACTCCAGTCTTATGCTAATAGTGCAGCGTTTTTGGCTGATACTGTTGAAAGTGACATTTCCGGTGGGGAAGGACCCACAGTTTTTTATTTCCCTGCAGGATCTCCACTAGTCTCCATTATATTATCACACTTAGAGCACACTGCTTCCATCAAGTGGGCCTGAGAGGAGGGTGATCCATGGACCTGATATGAAATGCCTTTTCCATCTAGTTGTGCAGTGTTTGGTTTTCTAGAGTGAACATGTTGCTGTGGAGTTTCTTGTCCCAAATTTGGAACGATGTGTTAATAAATTATAAAACTGCTAGTGTCTTGTTTGTTTTTTATCTCAAGTAACGGCAACATGAACTATAAAGAGTTACCATTATGTTGTTTATTTCCATTACAGAACTGCAGTAAAGAGAATGTGGGGGTGGGTACATGGCTGTAAAATCATGTTACACGAGAAATCACAAACAAGAACCCGTCCAGCTTTGCAGGCAAGGAAACATAGACAGTGCATTTATACCACTAAATGAACCACAGAGTGTTTCCCTGAACATTGCTGGAGTAGATCCTTTTTTCTGGCAATCAAATAGTGAAGTTGAGTGAAACAGGAATTGTGACAGCTGTTGTTAAGTTTAATTTCTTTTACATGGTTTTAATAGAGGTGGAGTAGACTGGAAGCTTAATCACTGATGTCCATAACCATCAGATAAAGTCAGTTTATCCAGTGATTTGCTTTTCCTGTGTATGAGATAAATCTTGTCCTGAGATCAGCTAGTGAGACTTCTGCAGCTTTCTCATTAAACTGGCCCCTACTGCTCCTTGCTATCCTCTGTCTAGGAAATCTTTCTCAAAGTTTGTGCATTTTATCTTTTTGTAACCAAATGGTATTTTGTAACACTTTTCTCTAAGACAACAAAAGAGTATGTTGAGAGTAAGTGCTTTTATAGTATCTTGGTACCCAGGATACTTATAAGCAGCTTTTCTGAAAGATCTGTTTAGGGATAGAAAAATTCCTTTGATAGATCATATTAATTAGATTTTTTTTTTAACTGTTTAGATTAAAGTGTACATATTAAAATGTATATTTAACAGTCATGTTAGATGTCTTTATGATTCTGAAACTTGGATTCTTGTCTTAATAAGGAATGGTTTTATTTCAAATGCAGCTGTTACTTGCTGTTTAGGAACTAAGCTTTGGTGGGCTAGAATGCCTTCTGAACTGTAGTGCATAACTTAGTGTCTGTAGCCAGTAGTGATATCATATGTGCTTCTCTCTGAAGTCAAGAATTTAATATAATAAAAATACCTTGCTGAAACATAAGCTAATACAATTTTTCTCTCTATTTAAGACCAAAATCTTAAGTTGAAGCACTGTAACACAATCTGTGCAGCATACCAGCCTGGAGCAGTACTGATTCTTTTTTTGTTTCTCATTTCATTCCCTAAACTAAGAGTCTCCACTTGGAAAAAATAAATGCTTTATAGAGGAATATAATTTGATAGCTAGGAGACAGATATAAGTAATTAACATTTTAATGGGAATCATCTGCTTAAGGTCTGAGGAATGATCTCCAGTGCTGCAGCACGTGCTGCTGCTCCCAGATGTGGTATGGCAGCAGTGCTGGGCTGCCTCAGCTTCTTGCTGACACCCAAAGGAGGAGGAGGTCTGACTGTCCCTCCTTCCCTGCTTCACTCTCTCACTTCTAGTGATGAGCTCTGGCCACAGGGTGAGTAATGAAGTCACTCCCCTGGCTTCCCTTTTTCACGTTTACCTTTTTCTGCCAGAGGTGATTTTTCCTAATTTTGCTGAGCTGAGTCAGCTTGCCTTTGTGTGAAATGAGAGCTGGCTCAGGGGGAGCAGCAGTAGTGCAGAGCAGGGAGGAGATGACAGGGAAGTTTTACTTCTGATGGCGAGATGTTGTCTTGGCTCATGGTATATTCCATAGGGAACTCTCTAGAATCTAGGAGTGCACTCTGCAGACAGTGGTGAGCTCCCTTGCCTGTGTGACACTTCAATCAGAATCAAGCCAGCTCTGTTGCAGAACCGTGTTAGCTAATATACATTGCCCCTTAGGGAAGATTTCCTGTTTCTCTTTAAATCCTCATTCACTGTTAGACAATGCTGAATGGCAGTATTGCTTTTTGAGGTCTGGTTACATGTTTAGAGTGAACATATACCAAATGAAATGCAGGATCAAGCTAAGGGGTAATTCGCAGTTTTCTGTGATTTTATAATAAAAAATTATAATTAAAAAATTCTGTGATTTTATAATTAAAGCAATATAGCAATCACAGATCCAGGGCCAAAATCATGCTCCAGTTCATGACTGGCATCAATGTATTTATTTGTAACTGATATATTTATTTATTAGCTTCTTTGTTGCACAGTGTGCTAGACTGTGTTACCAGGAAAATGTAGGCCAGTGTTTGAGTTGAGTGTGATTGGTTTTTATATTGTATATGATAGAATCATAGAATGGTGTTGGAAGGGACCTTGAAGATCATCCAGTTCCATCTCCCTTGCCATGGGCAGGGACTCCTTCCAGTAGACCAGGTTGCTCAGAACTCCATCCAGCCTGGCTTTAAACACTTCCAGGGATGGGGCAGTCTGTGCCAGTGCCTCACCACTCACACAGCAAAGAATTTCCCCCTAAATCTAATACAAAGCTACTCTTTTCCAGTGTAGAGCCTTCCCTCTTGTCCTGTCACTACGTGCCCTTGTAAGAGTGCCTCTCCACCACTCTTGCAGGCTCCTTTCAGGCACTGGAAGGCCACAGTTAGGTGACCCCAAAGCCTTTTCCTCTCAAAAAGATTGTATTTCAGCATATAATAGTACTTTATTTTAGAGCTATCACAGTATCATAAATAGTTTGCTGACATACACAAACATCTTAGTGCTTAGCTTTCAGTGGATGACCATATGTCAACAAAAGCTCTAGAAATAAGTTTAACGAATAGCCTTGTGCTGACAGAATGAATCTTCACAATTGTTTGGAAACAGTGTTTTGGAGACTTGAGGACATTCTTTTTCAAAAACTAACATTTCAAAGATAAAACAATCAAATAACTTGAATGTGCCTAGTCAGATGAGGTTTGAAGAAGTTCAGGCTGAAGCTGAATTGGGTCTGATGTATGAACACATTGTGAAAAGTGCACAAAATAAGATTTCTGCAGCACATGTTTCCATTGAGCACTGTTGGACAGCTACACATCCTGGATGCAGCACCTTTGTGCAGGCTGTGGCTGCTGCCAGCCTGTGGTATCCTGCATGAGCAGGAATGAGTGAGTAGATCAGATAGGCAGTAATAACATGAGTCTTGGTTAGGCTTGTTATTAATCACTGACTGTGTTGTTTGTTGTTGTAATTGTGATTCTGACCAAAGCAGAAAATTGCAGTTGCTTTAACAGATTAGATTTTGCATTTAATTTGGCACGTGGCCTCTTTAAACATAAAGCTAGGTATTAAGATAAGTGTGAATAGGGAAGGAGTGCTGCCTTTCAAAGAGCACGCTCTGTCTTGGAACCTCACAGCAAATTCTCTCCTATGAATTTCTTCACTTAAATTGCTCTGTGCATTTATTTGAAAACTTGAGTGTATGTACAAACAAATGAAGCAAAATCTTCAGAATTAATTTGATTGAGCTAAAGTTGATCTATGGAAACTTGACTTCTGGCATGACAAATTATGATGGAGCTGGTATAAAGTTCACTGCAGCAGTGAGGAGAAAGTCTTTTTTCCTTGGAGTTCCCAATCCTCCTCCTGGTCACATGCTTCCACTCTTTCCAAGGTGCCACCACTGCACTTGTGTTGCCTCAACTCAGCCACTCCTGAGAAAGCTGTCTATGTTTTCACTGGGTGATTTATGAAGGGATCTAGTAAGGACCAGAACTGGTACAAGGTAAGTGGGAGAAATGTGCAATGACATGAAGGGAAAAAAACCCTAAATAAAACCTTTAATCTTGAACAAACTCATATTTTTAATAGGGAGTATTTTGTTTTAACTCTTACTAGAAGATATTTTCCTTTGTATGACATCAATGCTGGGTGTTTAATGTGAAATATTGGATGTTTATGTATTCAGTACTTGCTGATCTTTAGAGAAATTAAACTGAAGCTTGATCTGCTGAGCAATGAGAGGTGTTTCTTGTTTCTTAAATGAAGTAGGCACTGCTTCAGAAATTAAAATGGGTCCGTCTCAAAACTTATGTTTAACTGCACCAGTTTCTAGACTGAAGTATTTTTCCAGATGCAGTCTGTCTGTCTGTCTGTTAAAGTGGGAGCTCCTGGAGGCTCCCAGAATCTAGGCAGCAAGATGCCTGCATCTGATGGCCCCTACTGCTTCAGTGTTTCAGTAGTCTAGGTGCTATGGAAGAGAGCACATAGGGTGAAAATGTTACCAACCATACCAAGGAAGGAAGTGTTACCAACTCCATTTAAAAAAAATCAAAAGGCTTGTCAGAGTTTTTTTTTTTACATTTTTTAATCACAGGCTAAATTAGCATTTTCTCTTTTGCCATTATTAATTTATATAAATTGAGTGAAAGAAGTGTCTTGTCCCAAGACACTTAATGAGAATGAAGCATCTATCCCATCAGCTGTATTTCAAATATCAGTTCAGTTGACTGGTTAAAAAGCTTCATTAGATGTTCAAATATAGGAGTAGATTTGGGGCAGTCTGTGGGGAGCTTAGCTCCTCTTGTATGGTTGGAAGAAAAAGCACAGCTCTGACTATTTTTTTCCAGAGGGTAAATCAAGAGTGGCTTAATTTAGTGAAATTCACTGTGCTCCATATTTGCTCTGTCTAGCTGCCCTTCTGCCTCTCTGAGGAGGTCCACACACACTGTATCATGTGTGCCTCCTCTTCAGATTGAAATTGCCATTACCAAATGAGGAATTCCTACTTCCTGCCTTGCTTTTGCATGCCTGTTCTGCTCCTCACTGAGGGGATCTTACTTCAGTACCCCTAGGAAAGTGCTATTTTTTGGTCATACCTTTGTGTCAAATCTGCTCACCAAAGGCCTGACAAAAGTCAAGTAAGTTGGAAGGGCTAAGAGCTGGTTAAGTGAGATTTTGTCTTCAAGAGTTCACCTTCAGTGTCTGCACTTCATGAACCTCAGATGCTCAGCTGAACTGAAGCAGTGGAGCAGGAAGATTTTGTCCAGAGTAGAAATTACAAATGTTAAAAAACCATGGCCCTTTTTCTCTACCAATAAGTGCTATATGGCATGAAGAATCATCTAACAGTAAAATGGTTTGGGTTAGAAGGGAATTTTGAAGGTCATCTAATTCCAACCCCTGGCATAGGCAGGAATACCTTC